GCACTTATCTCATGTGGCAGGGATGTGGTTGGAGGAAAGAAAGAACTACAGGCTTATTCAGCTTGGGTTTTCAGTGCCAGCCTCTAGGCAAGGTGCGCATGATGCTACTCAAAATATTTAATTGACTACATTAACCTTTACAATGATTGGAGATCCACATAAAAGGTGTCATATATTTTCCATTTAATAATAGCATGCATGTTACTCGTGACAGTTTTGTCTGTTTGAAAATGAACAGCTCCTGTTGCTCTATTGTCTCATATTGTTGACAGTTCCCTGACCCAGTTTCCTGCACATCTCTTTCTTTTTTATATCTGCTTATAGTAACAAATAAATAGGTATATCACATTTGACAATATACAGCAGTGCCGAGCATGTCTGCAAAAACAGATAAACATGAGCACTATAAACACTACTACTAGCCCAATTTTCCCTGATCTGGGGCAACACCCACACGGAAAGAAAGTATACGAACATATATGCCAATATATGGCAAATATATGCAGAATATATGCTGCATATATGCCATAGCAGGTTCATATATGTGCATATGGGGATTAATAGGAGATATATGTGTCATATATAGCTCATATATTTCCACATATATGCCAAAGTCAGGTTCATATATTTGCATATATCTCCTACATAATGCCTCATATATAGCTCATATATCTGTCTTTTTGCATATATGTCATACAGAATGCCTACATATAGGTCTTTGCAAGGTAATGTGGTAATGTGCATATTATTCCAAAGTTCTATATAACTACATGAATTAATCATTGTACTTATTTCCATTCAATGCAGATTGAGGTTTGCGTATTGCCCAAGACAATTCAATGTATAAAGACAATATTGTTTGATTACGGTATGTTTTATTGTATGAAGCAACATTTTTAGTTTAGTTATTTCACCCAGGACCGGAACCGGATGTTTATATCCGCTCGACGTCAGCTGATCAGTTTAAGATTAGTAAATTATTAAATATTTGATAATTGTACATTATTGTTAAATAGGGCTGTCAAGTTAACGCGTTAATAATACGTTAACGCAAAAAAAATTAACGCCACTAATTATTTTACCGCGATTAATGCATGTGTATTTTCTGTCCCCGGCCGCCCCGTAGTTTCAGAGCTCATCGAGTTTAAAATACCATCTACAAGCTGATGCTGACAGCCCCGCTCCTGCCGCCCGCTTGTGGCAGACCACACTTCCACGCTCACCGGCAGGCACCGACTGGCTATTGGGAGGACCGGGAGGGTGTGTGTATGTGTGGCCCGAGCGAGCGAGAGAGAGACCTTACGTGCATTGTTGTTGTTAGCATCTGGTGCTAGCTAGCTGCGCTAACGGATATAAGGAGCTGTTTAAATGAAAACAGAAGAGCGACATTTCGCTGATAACTGCGCCGAGCACTTGACTTTATGCAGGAAGCCAGACAGTGGGACATTGTACGAAAAGTCAGCGCACACACACACACACACACACACACACACACACACACACACACACACACACACACACACACACACACACACACACACACACACACACACACACACACACACACACACACACACACACACACACACACACACACACACACACACACACACACACACACACACACACACACACACACACACACACACACACACACACACACACACACACACACACACACACACACACACACACACACACACACACACACACACACACACACAGTATTGTATTATTGAATGAGAGAGCTTCCAGGTTGAATTGAGGCGAATATTTGTAATGTTCAGAGGTTGTTGTGTTTAATATTCATGAGAATATTTGTTATTGTTACATTACATTACATTGCATTTAGCTGACGCTTTTATCCAAAGCGACTTACAATAAGTGCGTTCGTCCAACAAAATACAACTTGAAGAAAACAGAATCATATAAGTACATCAGGCTTCATAGAGCAAAAACATTTCAAGTGCTACTCAACTGGCTTTAGAAAAGCCAGTCCTTTATTAGTATAAAAGTGCTTCGTTAATAGTTCTATCGCTCGAAGTGGAGTCGAAAGAGATGAGTTTTCATTGTTCAAATGATAATAAACATTAGCATAAAGCATATTTGTCCACTCATATGTTGATAAGAGTATTAAAAACATGAAAAATATTCCTCTAAGGTACATTTAGAACAGATACAAAATGTGCGATTAATTTGCGATTAATCGCGATTAACTATTTTAATCGACTGACAGCTCTAGTTCATATATATTCCTTCCATGTGGGCAGTAACTTTACACCTGGTAAGAAAGATATGGGCTTGGAGATCTATTGGATACAAATATTTGTATGTCTTTCTGAGATTTGCAATGGAAATATGACATTCAGACTAAAAACCTATTCAAGTTCCTGCAGATCAGATGCAAGACGCAAAAATCCTTAACCATGCCTACTCTCACCTCTATGGAAGAAATTATGATAAACCATCACTCCAAGAGAGGCCTCATTTCTCGTTTCTTTGGAATTATATTGGATGGTTCTCAAGGTTCCTCAGAAAATAAAAGAGGACCTAAATAGTGCAATTTTGGTTGATGAATGGCAGAAGGCATGTCTGGAGGCTCAAACACAATCCATAAACACCCATTTTAAAATAATCCAACTTAAGACATGAGCACTACGGCGGTGCATGATCACACGCACACAGTTGCACACACATGCTCGGTGCTACTAATAAGTCTCTCTTGATATCTGGTCTGTGGGAAACTCTGCGGGAGCTGTCGGACATTCTGATTGAAAGAAAATCTGATTACAGATTAGCTGTGAGCAATGAAATATGATTAATGCCACGGCAGGACTATGGGTGATCCTCACTCATATTAACACATTTGTATGCGCACAGATAATGTCCCAGCAGGACTGAGGAGAATGTTCTTATTAGAAACCCACTTATTACTGACTCTGACCAGAGCGAGTGGCTACGTGTAAAGGATCAGATCAGAGGAACCTCGATGTTGGTCTTTATTAGTCTGTGTGCGGTTGTGTGTGTTTGAGAGTAACTGCACGAGATTTAAAGGCCCTGGATAGAGATTTTTGTCTATGTTTATGCATGTGTGTTTATGTATATGTATATGTGTGTGAGAAAGACAGAAATGAACCTCTGCAGATTACATCATCACTTCATTTCCTGCTGGGCATTAGCTGATATTAATCATATCTGGTACATCATTCTCAGACTTTAGCCACAAAATGGGTCTCCACGGAAACACCACGGACACGCTTCAACTTCTTCTTCCCATCACAGTAAAATGACTCCTAGACGCACATTACATATATAGCCAATCCACCATCTGTGACATAAAGACACTATCCTTTCACAAAACAATGTTGAATTATTTACACAACATTATCAAGTGTGATATGATATATCAGAATGTTACAACACCCCAAAGTAACAATAGATACATTCATGAATTAGAAACAGATATGATAACCTGTATTTATGTGATTCTTATTCACAGCTACAAGTGATTAGAAGAATTTAAACAGCTTTAAAAGTAGCAAGAAACGTTTTCTGAACTTCTTTAGAGCTAAATGGCTTAGAAGCAGGTTTAGCAGTAATCCTCGTTTCAGATAAGAAAAGCTCTGCATTACCTGCGTTGGACTTATAATTGGTGATGTGTGAGGACCTCAGTATGTACTGCATGCAAACACAGAAAGTCAATAATTGTACAAATTTAAAAAACATGTTACTTATCTATCATTCCCTTACTTGTGCAGACATCACATAATGAGGAGCGGAGCGGAGAGTTAGATTTCTATCTGTGACACACATTGCGTCTCTGAAGACGGGGGGGGGGGCAGCGAGGCCTGTCTGTCAGCCGCTGGCAGGATGAGTGATCCCTGGCCACAGTACTACTCCCTTGCCATTACCAGGATGATTTTCCTCCACTGCTAAATGTCACATCAATATTCGCAGCCAGCTAATTAATCTCAGCTCTCCTGGAAATGTAGACATCTCACATCTGGTTTGAATACAGATACTGTACAGCTCTATAGCCAGACCTTTGCTCTTAACTCATATTTGACTAGAGCAGTCATATGTTGCAGTTCAAACGCTGTCCAACCTCATGCATCCATGACTATTTTTAAATTGAAAAAGCTTTATGCAGGAAAACTTTATTGGCGAAGGCAGTAAGAGCGCAGCTTGACTTTCATTCGATTGCGGGTAGAGGGTGCATGAAGGGTAGGTGAAAAAGGAAACGATTTTTCACAGGATGTTCAACAGCGGGATTTAAGCCATGTGTATTCTGAGCTGTGTGTCGGGGTGAGTGATGGCCTGAGTGTAAGGGTGGTGACACGAGGTGAGCGGGTGAATACTAAAGACGCACAAGGTCAAATAGCTCCGTGTTGCTGTAAGGTTAGACACAGTCAGTAAAAAAAGGCTTATGTTGTTGACTGGTCAGACTCACAGCCCTACTAACAGCAACTGTCTCAGGAGGGATATCATAGCGATAATAGTCTTATAGCTTTTGACACTAATAGTATCATTAATGATAATATATAACAAAAGAATGAAAGAAGCCTTTCAAATATGCACTTTGTCATTGTGTGCATGACTGTCTTAGAAAGGAATCCATCAGATGCTATTGAGAGCTATGAGTCACCCTCAGTCTGAACATCATATTAGATAATAAAGTCACTACATAGAGTAATAATAAAGGTTTAGCTTCTCTGCACATGTTGTGCTGCACACGTTCTTTCCCAAAGGTATATACTAAGTGGTTTTTGCTATTTAAGTCATGACAGTGAGGAGTTTGAAACTATTTATGCTTCAGGTGATTCAGATTCGTCAAGCAGTAAAAGCTTGTTGCTAAGCAATATCAGTTCAAGCCAACTGGAAAACCGGTAATTGCTGACAATAAAAAAATCATAAAAATGCTGGGACCTAATTTGTACTTATTGGAGTGACTCTCTGTGGTTCAGATATGATGCAGGGATGCAGCACAGCTCGGTGTTTACCTGTCCTACATAGACCAGCAGCCGGGCGCTGAGAGGGCTCTCATCAGGACTCAGCCAGAACTCAGAGTTATCATCAGACGACACAGAGAACTGGAAATCACCTGGAGGGGAAAAACATGATCAAAGTGTGCGCCGGTAGAAGTACATATTTATGATCCCAGATAAGTAGAACCAGGGTAATCAGATAGGGCATGGCCCGGTAAAATGGATTCTTAGCTGGAAAAATGCACCTAAAATCTGATGCCCGAACTGCCTGAGGCAGCGGTCCGAGATGACACAATTAGTCGCAGTGATATCAAAGTTTTACAGTGACTGAATTTCGAATCCATATGTACCAACGGTGTGAATATAAATGAAGATGTTTGCATAGATCTACACTAGAGTTAGCCGTTAGTTGGTCAAGATTATCTTTAAAAAGCTTAATTATTACTATTCTAATACAGTGACGCATTCCAACATTCCCTTCTGAATCATAAACCTTTCCAACACACATATACAATTCCCTCCACCCCCCATATATATATATATATATTGCTGAAACTGAAAAGTAGGTAAAAAAAAAAGTAGGATATTCCTAAAAATCTGGGGGACAAACTGCAACCAACAAATCCTGCTTATTCTGCCTTTAAGAATACAAGTGGATGAAGAAGTTGTTGTTTTTCTTTGGTTAAAATATTAATATAAGGAGCTGCATGAAGCTACGTTCCTCTCAGCAGATGCTCACCTCAAACTGTTTCCATTTAAAAGTAACAAACCGTAAATGCCAGTGTGGTTTTGCAGTGTACTCTCTAAAGGACCTGATGACAGAATCAGGTTGTGTTGGGTTTGGCAAACAGTAATGCAAAGTAGATATATTTGTAAACACAAGACAATATTCTATTACAGTGAGTGGGAATACTCCAAAGAGACACCGTGAAACTACATGCAAAAGCTACGTGGTGATGTATGCATCACATATGAAATATACTTGTATCCATCTAAATGAGAATGATAAAAGAGCCATAGATTGTCAAGGGTACATTAACAGCCGCAGGATATAGTGCAGGTCATGACTGTGACAGTTTTTATCGTCTGTAATCTGGAAAACCTCCAGGCATTTCTATGCTACAAACTCAGGTCAATGTAACACCCAATCAATCTACAATAGCATGTAGCAGGTTGTGTGTGTCAGTGTGAGGTGAAGGGCACTTGTTAGAGTGCTTGTCAGAATCCTCAAGATGACATTTGAGTCATCATCTGTGGAGAGCCATGACAGCAGCGAAAGCTACACAGAAAACTGAAATGAACGGAGATCTAATTAATAACTCCAAATTCTGCAATGTGTGTAAGAGCCCTTGGGTGTAAAGACTTTTCAGTTCCCATAGAAACTGGGCTCAAGGGTAGGTCTTCAGGGGTCCTGCAATGAGATTTAGCTGGGATATGGCTGGAATTCAGTCCTGATACAAATGTGAATATCCACTATATTAGTGGCTCTCAGGAGCTTGGATTAAGAGGGCAGAGGGAATTGTCCACTCTTGTAAAGGACACATGCTCCAAGGCCCCGAGCCTCTGAGGAGGGGCTCACTAATAAGACGAGCTAGTTACCATCTCTGTAAGGGTGAAGGAAGCCAAATATTCTCAGGCCATAGTTCTTCCACTTTGGAGCGACTGCCAGCTTCTTCAGCGTGGTGCGGGTCTACAGTGAAACAGATAACAATTCAGATCATAGAGGCAGCAGTTTTAGCATTAATACAGAAAGAAAACAGCTTCAACTTTAAGTGTGAACATAACTGACCATATTCTAGCTAATGGGGCTTTTCAAATAGGGATGGGATAATTTTGTATTTTATGTGGAACATGATAATTGTCATTGTGGTATACTTCCATTTTAAGGGATGGACACACATATTAGTGTAGATCTATGCACAGATCCTCACATGAAAAATGTTATTAAGATTTATAATTGTTTTTTAATAGAAATGACGTGTGTCCTTAGAGTGATGCCATTAAAAATATTAGTTTCTTGACAAAATGTAAAGCATTGATTATATGTTGATATTATTAGGGTCATTTTAGGAATCACAACTATTTATATCAGAGTTATTATAATGTGTTATATTGTCCCAGTCAATTGTAACTAACTTGTGGAGCTAACGTTAGCTTAAATAATTAAGAATCTGGAAACAAGAAAATCAAATCTGCGAGCGACTGACATTTCAGAATTGATAGAAATTTAAATAAAAAGCATCTATCCATCACTGTTCTGGCAGATGTTTCCAAAGGTTACTACACATTTCTAGGGTTGAACTTAACATATCATTAAATGCATATGTGCAATGAGAACTAAGAGCCTGACAGCTGAAGTAAAAGTAACTACATTAGTGTGACTGGTAAATAAACGCCATCAACAAAACAAATAATTTAACCAGTTGAGCCTCGAGCCTGTTTTTCAGGCCTCAGGCTCGAAAATGACATTCCCAGCACAATTGACTATATCTTCACTTCTGAAAGGGGTCAATTAATAATCTTTTTTCTCAAAGCAATGATAAACCTGTGAGTTGGATGTAGAAAAGTCAGAATCAATATAGAAATGTGTTATACAGGTGAGAGGCCCGCTCTGTATTACTTACATGAGGGTAGTGAGGGTAGTGCAGGTTCTTTCTGAGTTGGGCTATAGAGGAGCCACACCAGTCCTCAAACACATGCAGGTTGGCCTGTCCCTTATACTGCAGACACACAGAGACACACAGACGGACAGGTTAGTGCAGGCAGCAGCAACAGCATCACATTTGGTATTGAAAAGGCAGGTTATGCTTTAGTACTTCAGCTACTGCATGTCCCATCCTGACAGCAAAATTGCCATGTGCACTGGTTTCAGAATATATATTTTGGAAATGTATATTATTTCTGATGCCGTGCAGGAGGAATGAATTCTTGGAGAGACATGTGAACGTAGTGTGAAGTTCTGAATGTTTGCACTGTCCTGGGTAAGAGAAGGTGACAGAGAGCTCTTCAGGAGTATCAGGAGGAGGAGGGGGGTGGTTGAGAATGTCTGGAGCAGTTTGTCAGAGCTCATCCTCTGCTCGTAGTCTGACATTTGTCTGAATTACACAGGGAAATCACAGGACACAGCAAGGACAGGTGGTGAAACCAGTCTGCCTTGGCGCATAGTTTTTCACACACACACAGACACACACGCACACAAATCTGCTCATATACAAGAAGAGAAAAATGTCCGATGCCTTGTGTGTCACGCTGTATTGGAAGTGGACTGTATTGGATCACATACAATGTAAAAGACAACATTAAAATGAACGGAAGACTTTAGTGTTTCAGATCCTCACACACAATCATAAACTCTCACAACACATTTTGTGGTACAGGGTGGTGTAATTCCATCTACAGTACACAACACTGCAGAGGAAATGTCACACACACACACACACACACACACACACACACACACACACACACACACACACACACACACACACACACACACACACACACACACACACACACACACACACACACACACACACACACACACACACACACACACACACACACACACACACACACACACACACACACACACAACCTCCCTTAGCAGTCCCAGCAGGCTGCCACAGTTATATAGAACATAACACGTAGGTGGAGAAGAAAGCTTATTCTCAGCAGATTAATATGAGGAGTGGGGTTGCCTGGTGGGTTCAAAGCATAGACTGGCTATTTGTACCAGCTAGCCGTGTTGTCAACGTGAGCTGTCAATCAAGTGATGATTGAAGAGTGAGAAGTGGCCTTGTGACATAGAAATGTAAAACCTGTTGTGTTTGTATCATAGGATTAGAGGGGTAAGGAGGGGAAGCTTTCTCGGGTAAACACCTCTACATGTTTACATTTAAAGGAGAAAGATGGAAGGTGTCATATTCATTCTAACAGACGGCCTGACTCGAGTGCTCCTTTTCCTTTATCTCCCGCCTCTGTACGGTGAACTAAGTTCCCTGCACACTGACAGCAGTGTGGCAATTACAGCTCATGCATTAACCATGAGGTAATTTTGTTGAGAAAACATGTCAGTGGGAAGCAGTGGGACTCCTGATTTCAATTCTTTATTTCTGTGCACTTTTCTTTTCTGCAGGAAGACTGATGCGAATTAAAAACAGAAAGAGAAAGAGACGAGGATTCGCGGGATTGACAGGATAAAATAGTAGGAAAGCTGCGGGTCAGAAAGATAACTGATGTTTGAAGAGGGAGTGGCAGAGAGGTGGAGGCATGGCGAGGTTAGAGAGATTTAGCAGATGGGACTAGTCCATGTGTAAATATGCCTTAAAGCTTTTAATAGATATCCTCTGGGGTTTAAAAGCAAACCTATTTTTGGCCTGGCCCCCCTCCTCTTGTCAAATAGCAATAAGAGGGTAGCTTTAAAAGTCTCTACTTATTCACACGCATATCCCTGTGCAGCCCTGGAGATGCCAGGGGCTTTAAAGTGGGTTTTCTGCCGTGTGCAATTGGTCTTATTTTGTGGGTGACAGCACTGCGAGAGGTCTGTCTGTGCCTTAACAGGATGTGGAATGTGGCAGGAGGGAAGTCATTTCTTTCTTCATCCCAATCTCTTTTCTGCCCTGACTGCTAAACCTCCCCTCCTCTGGTTATATCATTTAGGTTTCTCCCTGTGAGTGCTGCTCTCCTTCTCTTAATGCCCTAAGTGCCACTATCCCTAATGTTGTCTCCTCTTCCCTCTGACCCCTCTATTTCTGCCTCTGCATCGCTCCATCTCTGCCTGCATGCTGCCAAATGCTGTCAATGTCTCTCCTCTGTGTCTTTAGTTTCCCTGAGCTCAGCTGTCGGCTGTCAGTTCTCCGTGCTGTCTCTCTCTCGCTTTTTTTGTCTCCTTCCTGATTCCTCGTTTTGGAGCGGGGGATGACACTCACATTAACAGTTTGTAGCGATAGTGTGTTTGGTTGTGTATCTTGTGCTTCAGTCTTCTCAAATGGCAGCTTTTTTAAACCGTCTCAGCTCACATTTGTTTTTTAGTAATTGGCTGAAGAAGAGAATGGCTGCTGCTGCCTTTCTCACGTTCTTCCTTCACTCTCATTTGTTGTGCTCTGGTATTTCATCCAAAACCAGAGACAGTCTTCTGTGTTGTCCTGCCACCATGGACAACTAGCTGTCTAATCTAGGTTCTAAAGCTTCAAAAAGCATTGTTTCTTGTACTTCAAGTCACATAAATTCAATTCAATTCGATTTCAGCTGATTGATACAAACATCTCTACTCTTCATTTTACTGCAGTACAACCATGCATTATATAGACTATAAATGACTCATCACCTCAATGCTTCCGAGAGTCTGCAATCACTCAAGAGGAGTAGAATGCAGATTTAGAAAAGATGCAATATGAATATCAATGAATATACATTTTTGGGGGTTCGGTCTTTAACAATTTTTAGGCAATTATTGAGCATAACAATAATATTTTGTTTTTAGAAATACAGTAAGAATCCTTCAGTTCACGTGTCAAAGTGTCTGAGACAAAAAACAACCGCATTGTATGGTAGCCCAGCCACCAGCTGTGTGTTTGTCTGTGTGTGTATTTTTTTATATAAACATATGCAAAAAAGACTTGATACCTTTTCAGCTCAAAATGCCAAAGACTGCACGTGTTTATCTTTTTGGGCCAATTGTCTGTTGTCCTCAGTCCCTCTTAATTCAGTAGTACTTGTCCTACCTGGTTATTTTTTATTTTCATCCACCACTCCCTCTCTCCTATCACCTTATATATGTAGTCACAACAACTGTCCTACATATAGTCTTAAGATACCACTCTTTCAAAGCCACAGAGCACCTACAGCTGTCGTTAAATAAGGATGAGGAGGACGAGAGGGGGATGGAAATAATGCCATCTGTCAAATAAGAAGAGTGAGGCAAAAAGAAAAAGAGAAAGACAGGAGAGGAGCTGACTAAGACAACAACAACTGATGGGTAAAGAAAATAAAAGGGACTGCTCAGCTTAAGAGGCATCACTGTTACCGCCTATTTTGCTCAGACCACACATTTCCTCCACATCACCACATCCCTTCTTAGCTTATCTCCAGCTCTCTAATGACTCCGCTCTCTGACCCATCTGGTCTCGCTGTAAAACCGAGCGCACTCTCTTTATTCCAAAAATCTGGTGCAGCCTTCTGCGTTCATGTTGGCAGCGAGGCACTGACAAATGGCTGCTCGGAGCACCGACTGATACTGTAAATCCTCTTTGGACAGGCAAAGTGAGACGTGATGTTCCAGGCAAAGGCACACTTGGGAATATAGAAAAGCATTCAGCTTGCTTCCCTAGGGTATACAGTATAGGAGAAGTGTTGATCAAATACATGCGTGACATAAGTAATTCCCTCTGTGACTATGACAGGAATGTTATCGCTATATGAAATCTTTCCATGTAAATGTATAGAGAGCATTAAGATTCTCCCTGCTTATTCTCCCTGCTTATCTCCTCTTACTCAGCCTATTAGTAATTTAGAAACGAGGGAGGAAGAGAAAACTGGAATTAGTACGTATGTGCAGCGAGGAGAAAAAGGGGTTTCAAAGGTGCAGAGGTTTGAAAGAGGAGATTATGAGGAAAGAGATATTGAGAACTCATTTCACACAGCAGAAAATATAGAAGGCAAGGTTCACATGATCTAGATTCCAGCCTCATCAACTACTGTAATGAGGGATGGTATAATCTGCAATCTGTCCAACAATTATATATCGGAGATATAACATGATGGGGGATGAATGGGGAATATGAGACAGTGAACTGAAGATGGGCATAATTGTTTCAACTCCTGCTACAAGCTGTCGATCATGTTCATGAATTTAAGGAGAGGCCAGTAACAGAAATCCCATTACTGCCTCATGTTTGTCCATTTTTTGGACAGATGGGTAGATAAAAGAAACACGGACTGAGTGAGCGGTGAGACAAATATCACACTTCCTCTGCTGCGTCCTCACATGTTATTGTAGGGTGACGGGAAGGTCACAGACAAGAAAAAGATTTCCTTCAGTCTTGTCGCCGTGTGTGTTTCTCCGTAGGAAGCCAGCTGTGACGGCTGCTCCAACCTGAGTCATGTGTCAGTGTTGTGCCACAGAATCTCCCTCACTTCCCTCTTGAGTGGTAAATAATAGGCTTTCCAAACGTGTGGCTTAGATATTTTACACTACACAAGCCAGAAAGAGAGATATTTGAGTCTGTCACTCAACATGGAGCCTGCCATGCTCCATCTTTTGCAAAAAGCCACTGTTTTTAGTTGAATACCTCCTGAGTATCGGATTAACATCACCGAACATATTTATAATACTTCTGGTATGATGTCTCTGTGGATTCAACGTGGACTAGTACACATGTAGAGAAATCATTAATAGTCCCCCTGATATACAAGCCACTAATCCCTCTTACGATCACTTTCTGCTCGTGACTAGATCAAATAGTTCATTATGCCTAAATTCTCTCTGGATCCATGTTAGCTTTCTGCCTGGTGGTTATCCCTTCATGCTTGACTTTTAAAAAGTGGCCCAGTTCTATATCTCTCGCTCTGATCTCTTTCCAGTGTCCTTGACGGACGGATGATGTCCAGCTGCATGTCAACACTAATCCACCGTGACCTTCGGGAACCTGGGAATTCTTATTAAGTCCCCAATAGTGGCTGAAAACAACCCGCTAGACAAACATAGGATGGACTCACAAAGGGCTGGGTGATGTGGAGAAAATCTGATATCATTATACGCAACATCAGTGTAGCGCTCACTACTTGTGCTTAGGCTTTTTTTTTTACATATAATACATCAGTAAAATAGTTATAAAGGCTAAGATAAGATACAACTGTAGTGTCATGTTTGTGTACAGATACAACCCAATGAAATGCAGTTAGCGTCTAACCAGAAGTGTAAGTCTATATACTATTACAACATGTAAATTACAGTAAGTGCAGTACTACAGCATACTGTAAGTGATGCTGTTAGTAACAATATACAGATGTTACAAATGTTTATAACTTAAATATGTATATACAGAGGATAAATGGAGTTAGAGTTAAATGCAAAGTAGGTTTAAGGCACAGACAATAAGGAGTATAAACACCAAGTACAGTTGGTTATATGAACAGTAACATTAGGTAAAAGCAAAAGAATAGAAAAAGTGAAAATATAGAACAGATAGAACAGTCGGTTAAGTGAGATCACTTTACTGCAGCCTTTAAAACCAGGAAGAGATACTTATGTGATATTACAATAACTGATACGTAAAAAGAGTAGTCTCATATCCGATACTGATACAAAATGTATAAATAAATAGCCCTAGACTCACTTTCTAAACTCACATTCTAAAACTGTTGAATTGTGCAAATATGTGAAAAATTAAATGAGCGATGCTTTCATTTTGCCTGTGGCTACTGGGTGTCATGGTGACCTCTGGCAGTCTGTGACAGCTGGCATATGGCAGCGCTCTACCTCCACCAGCCCGAGTCTACGCCTCTCACAGCGCCAGCTCAGTGGCCCCTCAGACCTCTGCCATCTTGGCCGTTCATCAGGAAAACAAGTTAGTGCTGGTAAATAGGATGGATAGAGGGTGAGGAAAGCAAACCTTCTGCGCTTCATTTGATCTGAAAGGTTTATTTGCCTCGATGCAGCAGGAGTCTGAGATAAGAGAGGAAGAGCTCTTCGAGGATACATGTTGTCAGCAAACTGAATGGCATGTTGCTTTATGAGTAGGCTGGACTGAAGTCAAAGAAATGTTTACTTGTACAAGTGAGCTTTGATGCTAGTCCCGCCTAATGCAAAATGTAGTTTGAGAGGTTGTTGCAAAATGTATTTCCCTCTGTGGCTGCTTCTCTTCCCCGATCAAAACTATAAATAAGAAATTCAGTTTGATGAATGAAATGATGTACATGTATTTTTAGTGCAAATGCACCCTTTGGTTTAAACGGTTTGAACATAGAAAATGATAAAAACAGAGCATGTTCATAATAAATAGTCTCGCTGTGCTCAGACCATGAAATCCATTTACATTTGTGCAATTAGTCTACATGATCCCGATTCAGATAGCTTGTTTGGCTGCATTCCTCGCTTGGCGGTTGCATATCAATGTGTTGCTCATTTTCTAAGTAGCACCATTTTAAATTATGCCAAAATAAGCCTCCACAATTATGCAGGGCCCTCAATATTCAGGCGACAGATGTTTAAAAAGCAGATCTCATCCACATGTGATCATTTACAAAGCCAAATTACGATATGTATGATGTCAAGCTATTTCATTGCTTATGTTTGAAAAAAGGAAATATAAGGATTGTTTTTGTTTATTAATGGGAGGGTTTTTTTCGTGATATATTGTGTTGCTGAGGAAATGCAACAAGACAAAGGCAGGTTTCGTCAAGATTAGCTTAACCATAAGAGTCTGCTGAAATAAAACAGCGTGTTTGGCACTAACACTATCAGAAACATACTGTGTTCATCTCCCCTGCCTTGTACAAAAGATGAACTGCATCAAGCTTTCTGGAAACAACAGTGAATTATACTAATTCCTGTAAAAAACCAAACATTCGGTATGGCTGCCCTCAAAGTGATCATCTTGAAAATAACAATAACTTCCTATTATCCAGCTCATGCTGTGTGTTGGAACTGTTTGAAGTGTTCAGCAGAGATATTCAAACTCTAGCCAAGGTAGGGAAAAACTAATGAATCTTTTGTTTGTATATTAAACTCACACACACGCACACAACCCTGTAATCACACTCTGTCGAACAGGTTACAAATCAGCAGCTTCCCTTATCACAAATCCGCTGCTTAATTGCCCTGTCTGCTGCTCCTTTTGGTACAGCGAGTATGTAAACTACATCAGTAAGTGAGCTGAAAAATTAGGATGAATCAAATCAAACTTGTAATCTACAGGTCAGAGGTGCCTTTAAATGAAGTCTGCTAATGGTTCGGGTTGAAATATTACCATCCTCGCACAATAATTCATCATCATATCCGCGAGGTACATTTCATTCCTCTGATAATGGCGCCAGAGAGGAACTGGATCCCTATTTGAGCTCAAATACAAACTGCTGGTAGAAGGAAAAGTGAAACAAAATGTGAGTAAGATATCTGCGGCTAAATTACATTTTTTTTTAAGTAAAACACTCAATTATTGAGCCACTAATGGAGTGATTGATGAAGGTTTCTTGCATGTTTGCCTGGCCTTTCTAGGTTTATCTGATGAGTCACACACATGCCAAAGCACATAAAGGACTTCAACATAATAATCATCCTTCTGAAAGATGGAAGAAAGAGGGTTAAAAAGAAGATCATTAATGGACAAGTGCAGGCCTCAGAAAAATGCAAATAAAGGACAGGAAATCCTTTGTATTACCTCCGGTTTCCATGGCAATTTCTTGTGCCGCTGGCTGAGGAACTTCCGAATGCGGGTATGGTGTCTGCCATCAGCCCCTCCTGTGATCGGCTCGTCATCCTTGGAGAAAGGAGCAGAAACGACACATTTATTCCTCTTTCAGTACAGAAATAGACATTGATGATAGAAAGAAACAATTAAATGTTGCTTTAAATCTCAGTGTGTTTAACTAAGCACATGTATCCATGCATTAAGCCATCCATCCATCCTTATTGAGGTAACATGACTATTTACAATAAGCTACATAATTGATATGTGAGATAAAGTAGCGTCATTAGCAAAACCCACATCCCTTTCTAACTCATGGAAGCATTAAGCAGTACAACTTGTACACTACAACTGAGAATATCACACACACAGAGGAACACACACACATACAGGGTTATTTCCCTAGAAGGATACTATTAAGACCCTGTGGAATCTCCTCTTAACCATTCACTCCTAATCCAGCGTTTGACTCGCCAAAGCCCTAATCTGCAACATACTCTAAACATCCAGCCTGCCAGCCAGGATCTCCTCTCGAGGGAGCCTGAACTCTCCCCCTGATCTGGGAATTAGCTCTAGTGCTCCGGTCAGAGCACTGCAGGGCTCTCTCTCCGTGGCCTGCTAAAAGCTGTGTTAATGTCAATACTGTGGTCTGGTGTGACGGCTGGACAGAGCAGGACTTTGTGGCCAGCTCTGATGAGATAAAAGGCTTCTAGAGAAGAGCTACATTTGTGGCAAACCATCCTCTGTTGAGCAGCGGTGTCTAAGGAGAATCATACCTGCACCAAGTCAAACCTGAGGGGTTTCCAGCACCCTTGAAATGAGGGGATTTTGTCAATAAGGCACCAGGGTTACCAAAAAGCTGTCGGATGCCAAGCCTTTGATTACATGTTTCAACTTCCAGGGGAGAGAGTAGAAGAAAGGCAGGGAAGGTAATGATGAAAAAATATGACAACGGGCTCCCCTCCTGTCTGACACATTACATTACATTGCATTTAGCTGACGCTTTTATCCAAAGCGACTTACAATAAGTGCATTCAACCAGGAAGACACAACCTTGAAGAAAACAGAATCATATAAGTACATCAGGTTTCATAGAGACAAACATTTCAAGTGCTACTCAACTGGCTATAGATAAGCCAGTCCTTACACCAGAGAAGGGCTTGACGTTTGTACAGTACGTACCAGAAGACTCACAAAGAAATCTCCAGCACTGCCTTACACTCACACACACTCTTAATAAGCACACATTTGTGCACTCACTAAAAGGACTATATTTTCATAGTATCATAACATTAATAGAAAGGATAGGATCACCCAGGACAGGACTCAGCGGTCAGTAGGCACTTGTTTTCATCACCTGCAGTAAAGCAATCGTTGTTGACGCTTACATGAAGTATGTTAAAAAGCTGACATTTAACTAAAGGCGTAAATAAAGGCATGATGAAAATGACAGCTTTTTATTTGCTCTTAACTTTAAAATCTACTTAATTCCAATAAGGCTAACTAACATAACTTCAAATATATAGAACATTCACATTATTGAAAAGTGTACCTGTGTCCAGTAAAGATGGTAGACACCATTTTCTAAAACGTACCTGAGAAAACATTAATTAATTATAAATACCTTTAAAGATTTAGCTCTGAAGCAATTTACTTAATTTGCAATCAAATCACTAGAGCTTCGTTTCCTCATTTTCCCTTTGCAAGTGTCCTTTATACATTTGCAGTGTTGCTGTTTTTAGACATTAAACCTACAAAGCTCTGTTTTGCTTCCACTTCTCATATGGTGTGGACCGTGGATAATGTCAGTGACATTGTTTGCCTGCTCTGAGCAAACCAAGCCCAGGAGTAGGCAGCTATCTGCCAGCCAATCAGCTTTCACTATTAGAACAGGTGCATTGACTGTTCCAATGAGGATGATGGATTATCCGTGTAGGTGAAGGACTTTGTGATCTGCGGTTACTGATTGTGATGAATAGAGACAATGTTTAAGGACTAATATGTTGTCAGCCCCTAAAAGACCACACTCCAAATAACTGCTTGGCTTTGGACTGTAATTCACACGGACACCACTTTGCCAAAAGCGCTGCCTCAGCTCGATCCAACTTAAAGTCTGCTTATCAATGCAATACTAGAGTTAAACTCATTGACCTGAGGTTGCACTACATCTATTAGCGGTACTCCTTTTCCCTACATAGTCATAATGTCTTTACACTTTGGCAAAGATGTTGTCATCACTTATAGCATGCAACTAATATTTTCTGTGACTCATTACTACGAAATAACAGTTGGTCATTTCTAAGCAGATCTTCATTTGTATGGCTTTAGGCCCAGAACTGTGTTATCGTGTTTTGCTGATGATTAAAGTTGATGCTAAGGGCTCTGTCAGGTGGCCTTATGTATTAAACATTGCATCAAGGCGAAGCAAGGAATATCAATCACACTGATGAGGCGGCCTATTTATCAAGTGTTTATATTGCTATTTACCTTGTCGATTTTCAGTCAAATGAAAAGACAAATGGTCCTTAACCATATGTACATTTTATGTGCTGAGGGAGCATTGCATCAGAAACATAGAGACTGGAGGAGAGCAACATTTAATTATAGCCAAACTAAGTTGTTTCATATACAAACATGCGAAAAGAGTCGTAAATCTCATAAGGATTGATAGATAGATGAGCTGTCCAATCAGTGTGCTCCCGCCAATGACAAGATGGCTGATGGTGTGTGTTGTGGCTCGGTAGCTCCCGATTCAAAACCACCGGCCTCGACTAAAACCTACAATATATAAGACTGTTGACGGCCTAGTTATTGTAGAGGATGAGTTACTCAACTTACTAAAGTTACTAAAACTATGACCCAGGACGAGCTAGTCCTTGTAGCCTCTAACACCTTCGATTCCGAATGGATTGAGACTTCTAAAAAGACGTTGTTTGAACTCTGTCCTGAAACCAAGCAGCGGTGTGTGGCCTTTAAAAGCAACCAGAAGGATGCAAACAATATTAAAAGCTGCCTAAAAGTGCTAAATGAATGCGGTGAAAACATCCCCCGTTTTGTCTCCCACTACCTGGATGAGCTGCCGCCTGTTACGTTTAACAACCTGGATGTGTCCAACCTGCTGAGCAAGATGGAGCGACTGCACAGCGAGGTTTGCGCATTAAGACACGTAGTGGAAGTTCAGGCAGATATCGGTGTGGACCTGCGTGCTGTGGCTGCGACCATGGACAGCAGAGTTGCTGCCGTAGAACGCCAGTTGGAGCCGAGTCATGGTGGAGGACTGGCTGTACCAAGTGACGCTGAAACTACCTGTGGGAGCGCTCAGGGTGATGGCCAGGATGGTGCGGTGTTGGTGAAAGATGCGAGCCCCCCCGGCTCTTCTACTGATGTAGTACATCCCAACTGTGTTGACCCGCTCACTGCGTCAGGGACCGTGAGTGCCTGTGTGAGCCCTGGAGGAACTGCGGTAAATTCGCAGGTATGGAGTCAAGTTGTGAAACAGGGCCGAGGTCAGAGGAATAGGGCCGAGGGCCAGTCTGCCTTATCTAAACAGCTTGTTGGGAAACCTGAACGGAGGATGCCTAAGCCTATTGTTGGCACTGCTGCACAAGGGAATATCAAAGTGATCCGTACGAAGTTGGTGAGTGTTTTTGCTACCAAATTCTCGCCAGACCTTGATGCTGAGACACTGTCCGAATATCTAACTGAACAACTCGGCCGTGATGTTAACTGTCACCATATTGACACTGCAAGCAGCAGATATAGCTCGTTTAAAGTGTATGCTGAGTGCAATGAAGTTGCGGAGATGTTTAACCCAGAACTCTGGCCTGAAGGCTCAGTTGTGAGAAGATACTATGAACCACGTAAAGCGGAGGTGATGGGGGCTAGCAGAGCTAGACCTTTTGCTGGTGCGAGGGTACTGAATGGGGCTACGGCTGAGCTGCTTAGCTAAACGTTATGCGGGTTGGATCATTTAACTGTCGCGGGCTGCGCCTGGGCAACAGCGCTGCTGATAGGATCCGACGTGTAGTGGTGGACAACTTGCTACAAAAATGTGACATTTATGCTTGCAAGAAACTTTCTTACCAAAGCAGGACTTGGGAAAGTTGAACTCTCTTAATGACAATTTTCACGGGGCTGGTGAGTCCACTACGGACCTATCTCTGGGAATAGTGAGAGGAAGGATAGCAGGGGGCGTGGCTATCCTGTGGCACAAAAAGCTGGACACTGTCATTAATGTCATCAGGCTTGAAGTTGACTGGTGTATTGCTGTACAGATCAAAATGAATAACAAGGAGTTTAGCATTCTCAATGTATATACACCGTATGAGTCACAGCATAATGAAGATGAATACCTGAACAGACTTGCTTTTATACATTCTTTTATTGCTGATAATCATTCCACCAGTGTTTTTGTAGTGGGTGATATGAATGCTGACATATCAGACAAAAGGTCCTTGTTTGCTAAGCATATGCTACAGTTTTGTGATGATAACAATCTTATATTATCAAGCCAAATACTTCTGCCTACAGATAGCTATTCATATATAAGCGAGGCCTGGCATTCAACTTCATGGCTTGACCATTGCATAAGCACTGCTAATGCTCATGACATTGTAAGATCAATTGAGATTGTGTATGAGGCATCAATGTCAGATCACATTCCTTTTATAATGTCACTAGATTGTGATAGTCTCCCTGAGATGTCTCAGGAGGTTAAAAATGCCTGTACCACTAAAGTGGATTGGTCCAAGCTCACAAATGAGGATAGGCTATTGTACTATGGGAGAACTGATGTCCTATTGAGTGATGTATATCTACCCAAAGTGGCAACTCTGTGTGTTGATGTGGGTTGTAATGAAAACTCTCACCGTGAAGACCTCTGTAACATGTATGACTGTATTGTGGGAGCTGTATGGGAGGCCAGTAGACCGTGCTGTACCTACTCTAGGAAGAGACACAACGTCAAGCCAGGGTGGAATAAACATGTGGCTGATCAATACGCTGAAGCCAAGAATGCTTTTGGGGCCTGGGTCCAGGCAGGTAGGCCCAGAGAGGGGCTTGTCCTGGATCTC